ACAAGGCGGCAAAGTAAAAAAGGGGTGATTAAATCTTGTTAATATGTTTCCATGTGGGGTGCCAGATCCTAATTACCCAGGGGCCTCCACCATGTCAAAGAGCAATTTGAGTCGTTTAGCAACGAACCCGGCCCCAAGTGTAAAATACTGTATATATTTTCCGGGAAAAACGGAATTTATAGGTAAAAGATGCCCTATATTGTTTTTTTAAAAAAAGTATGTTACGAAAAAAAAAAAGAGACTCGCCATCTTGTTTCGATTTTTTTTTAAAACGTGGTGAATGGGGAAGAATTTTTTTTGGCTCTAAGGGGGTTTAAAAATTTTCTGACACCCCTCAAAAGGGGCAAAATTGTTTGGGAAACATTCCGTAACTTAGTATCAGACGCTGGAAGACAGCTCTAGGGAATCTTGATAAGCCTCTAGATTTGTTAATAATTCTGGCCAGCATTTTTTCAAAATTAGTTTTAGTGAGGTTTTTTTGAGTAATACACATTAATCTCCATCAATTTGGGGAGGGTATTAAGATAATTTTTCCTTTTGTTTATAGATGTGGTATAACTATAACCTTTTTTAAATTTTAATATACAGTCCACAAAATTTTATATTTTCCGCTTTTTCCCGGGGATGTAACTTCTTTAATTAAAGGTCCAGACACTTTTGGATATGACAGTGAGGTATCGAAGGGGGCATTTTTTGCGACCTAGGGTCCCCCAAATTTTCCCACTTGTCTAACGATAAAAATAATTATCTAGTTCATTTTTCTGTTATGTAATAAAATACATTCAATAAAGCAATTCCACATGCACATAGATCCTATCGAGTCGAGCCGCGTAACCCTGTCGGACAAAAGCAAAATCCACCCCACCAACTACATCACCTCCCACATCGCACGTCTCCTGAAAAAACTGATTTTTCGTACTCGCATCCCTCGCAGCAGGCCCATATACGCTAATGAATCCGACTCTTATCGTACCTCACCACCCGTCAACGCGCACTAAGCGACAGTCAGACCCAACTTCCCAATGATGTAGCCGAAAAGGACTGTTCTCTCGTATTAACACTGCCACACCACCCTTTAACCGCGGACTATTCACTCCATACACAACATAACCTCGTATTCTCAATTCACCCACATCCCGACAATTGTGCTCTTGCAGAAACACAACATCAGGCTTAAAATGACATAAACACTGCTCAAAATCATCTTTCCTGTGAGTCGCCCGTAAACCATTGACATTTATAGTTAAACACTGGAATGTTGCTGGCTTTCGTCACACACATTCACTCGTAATACATTTAGACATTGAGCGACATCACCGTCTGTGCCACAAACATCGCCAAGCGGGAGGCTCGCCACCCTGGCATTGTCTTCAAAGCCATTAGCCGCAATCGCGGCCCACGACTTTTTCCCAGGTCGTTGTCCTGGTGTCAGTTCATCATCACTACTTGAATTCCCTGCCGCCCGCTTACGGGAGCTCCCGTTGACAACGGTGCGGGCGGGCACGGTCATGTGTGTATGGACGTCCACGCTAGTAATTATCACAGTGGGTCCGTCGGGAATAGCAATCGTTGACGGTGGGCTACCAATGCTATTATCGGACGCCACTGGGGTGGATGGTGGCGCTGGACACTCCTCCACCGCACCATATAATTCCGGAAATGATACAGGGAGGTCTAGCTCTACCTCACGAGATGGAACATCAGTTGATGTCGCTGCGACACCGTCATCAGTAACGCTCGTCTCCATACAGGTCAATGTTACACACGGTGAATCAGGTGTAGTGACAGGTACATCGAGGGAAGGCTGTTGAGGCGTTGGTGTCGGACGGACGCCCTCGCCTACCATGGACTCGGGGGCTTGTGTAGGAGCGTCTGACGACACACGCTGCTCACCCTGTTGACGGGAACGCCGACGATCACATTGATACGCCATGTGTCCATACGCGTCACATAACCGACACGTCTTCCTTTGTCCCGGGTAATACACATATACCTGAGTACGGTAGACATCGAGGAGAACAAAAGAAGGGATGGCCATTTTGATGGACATTTTTACTGAAAACGACCCGTCAGGTTTACTTTCAAATGGGCCATGGCTCCATACACATGCATAAGTCTGGTGAATCATCCCAAATTTGGTGAAAACCTTACGGCCTGGTGGTCTGGTGGCTAAAGCTCCCGCTTCACACACGGAGGGCCCGGGTTCGATTCCTGGCGGGTGGAAACATTTGACACGTTTCCTTACACCTGTTGTCCTGTTCACCTAGCAGCAAATAGGTACCTGGGTGTTAGTCGACTGGTGTGGGTCGCATCCTGGGGGACAAGATTAAGGACCCCAATGGAAATAAGTTAGACAGTCCTCGATGACGCACTGACTTTCTTGGGTTATCCTGGGTGGCTAACCCTCCGGGGTTAAAAATCCGAACGAAATCTTATCTTATCTCTTATCTCTCATCAGCTTCGAAAGGGACGTTTCGAATCTTGTCCCATGTGTAAGTGCAGGACACATCCCGAAGACACACTGCCACAGTTGGGTTCACCTGACAACGTAGATCTTGATAACGTTAAACAACATCCTCATACACTGTAGAAGTCGTAAACTTGACGAAAACCTGGGAAGCACCATTTACTGAAACACCATAGATGTCATCGTTGGAGATCTTATGTGTGTCTTGCAGGATTTGGAGTAGGAGGACGTCAACATTATGATCCAACAAAGATCCCTGCAAAAGCTCCACACATACAGTGTTAACTCGTCGGAGGCTTCCCTCCATCTTGTGGGGTAATGTTGATTTTCGCCACCAGAGGGCGAGGCGCAGAGCACACAACCACTCAACTCGGTACCTGTGAGGCAACTGAGTAGCGTCTGCGCAAAGGTCCACTCGGCCAGAAAGCGAAGAGGACAATGTAGGTCATGTTTTGGTGTAGAAGAGGGCAGACCAGACACAGTACAGTATGGGTAGAGAGAAGCTGCTAATATTTTGGAGTAAACACACCTGGAGGTGATAACCAGTATATACCCAGAATTGCACATAAACCGTATAACGGCAGCGGCACATGCAAGATTAACGAAAATCAGAATATCATTCAGGAACTTGAATAAACAATCCTTCAGAACCTTATATACGACATATGTTAGATCATTGAGTAGGCAGCCCCAGCATGTAGCCCACACCTGGTGAAGCACGTGAAGAATCTGGAAAAGTTCCAAAGGCTTGCAGCTAGACTAGTATCAGAACTGAGAGAGATGTACCATGAGAAGACTGAGAAAACAGAACCTGAGGAGAAAAGGACAAAGAAAACATGATTACTACTTACAAAATCTTAAGTGGAATTGATAGGGGGTGACAGATGAATCGTTTGAATTAAGAGGACCAAGATGAAGGAAAAACAGGAAAAGGGTGAAAACAACACATACCTGGAGTTTACCTGGAGAGGGTTAACGTCAAGCATGTGTTGTTTTCACTCTTTCTTTAGTTTCGGGGCGGTTGAAAAGCGGACTGACTTGGATCGAGGCAGTGGTGAAGGCAAACTCAATACGCAGTTTTAAGAGTAGATATGGTAAAGACCAAGAGGCCGGAAGTCGGTAATGCAAGTCAAGGTCGTCTAGGAGGCGGGTCATGAGTTAAGCATCCACCCTCCTCCTGCAAACAAATTGGTGAGCAAACCAATATCAAATTGACACATACTGGTATATAGCATATACAAAGTATATACTGCATATATGTCAAGCAAGGAAATATACGTCAATGCCAAGCAAGGACATATACACCAATTTCAAGCAACGGTATACATACCAATGGTTTGATAAGCAAGGATGTATATATTTACCGATGCTTTGCTTAAGCAAGTACGTATATATAAAATATAATATATATATATAATATATATATATAATATATATAAATATAATATATATATACTTGCTTAAGCAAAGCATCGGTATATATATACATCCTTGCTTAGCAAACCATTGGTATGTATACCGTCGCGACGGTCTGGAGTTTTGAGACTGTTCGCGGGTTCTATCCCCATCCGTGGTATGGTTTGTTTGCAATCGTGTCATTACGATTTTGTGAGCCACTTGTTATGCACAGCATTTCGGGCATATTGGGTCCTTGTCCCAGGATGCGACCCACACCAGTCGACTAACACCCAGGTACACATTATATACTGATGGGTGAACAGGGGCAGCAAGTGTCTTATGGAAACTCGTCTCTAATGTTTTCCAGCCGTACCGGAGAGTCGAAATCCGGACTTCAGTGTGTGAGCTGAGTGCACTAGCGATGAGTTGCACTGAGATAAGATAAGATAAGATAAGAGGGATATGAAAATGTTTATTTTGCAGCTCAGTACCTGGACACCTCATACCCATCCACGGGATGGGTATGAGGTGTATAATAAATATGTAAAACTGATTATTATTATTATTATAATCAAGGGGGAAGCGCTAAACCCGAGGATTATACAGCGCCTGGGGGGAGATGTGGAAGGCATTCAGGCTTAATTCGGGGAACTGGAGCACAGATCCAATTCCCTAAATCAAGAGCCCCTCACCAACGTCAAGGAACCTTCCTTGAGGGGTATGTAAAACTTAAATTCATGCATTTACTTTAATTCCTGATCTAGGGAATTAAGGATCCTTGACAGATGTTATGGGCACAAATAAGATAAGATAAGATAAGATACGGCACATTATATAAATTTAACCTCAGGTCAAACAATGAATAGATAAATTTATTTAGGTACAGGTGCATATAATTATATATATAAAGTACATTTATTAAATAGTGTAAATTACCTTGTACATACCCAAGAAAAAGTCAGTGACATATTTCCATAGATGAAATGCAGCCTTTAATGACCCTCTTGTGTTATTCGATGGGCTTTTTACCTAATAAATCAACATTAAAAACCATTGTAAAAATGTAAGCTTATGTTTGTAGTTATTTGTAGTCTGTAGATTATCTTAAATAAGAACTACTAAGCATGCCAGTGTGAGGGAGTAGACAGTCGCAGTGTGGCTCTACTGAGGTGCTGGTCACGTCCTTAGTCATCTCACTCTAAAATGTTCAATTTAACAAAGACAGCTGCTAGGAACATTGGGTTTCGTTGGCTTTCAGGCAGTGCTTCACTGCAAGCACCAACAGTAGCTGTGGTAAGTGTGAGAAAGGAATATAATAAGGTAGTTCAGTGCTTGATGCCGGACACCAGTGTGAGTGTCAACACTTGTTGGCTCAATTGTTAATGTGACAGATGGAACCGGTTTCCATGACCTTTTTTTTCTACACTTTCAGCCCTGCCTGAGGCCAGACTTGCTGCCACTGATCAATCGCACTATTGCAGTTAGCAGTTCGCAAGCATACGTAAGAGAGTGCTTGATCTGGCCCTTGTAGGAGACATTAGTCCAGTAACTTTAACAACAATTACGTGTTTATTGAAAGCACTAAATAAGCATTTAGTACTTACTATCAGTAAAAGTATATATATTTAACCTAAATAATATGGAAATAAGTCTTTACATATAAATGGCGAAGTGCCAACAGTGATAATTTATTTAAAATGCGAAAAGATTTAGGAGTTCTAGTTAGTAAAAACTTATGTGAAGACAACAGTGTACAGATTCACAATAAAACTAATAAAATTCTAGGTTTCATATCAGGAAGTATAAATAATAGAAGCCCTAAGGTTATACTTTCAGTTTTAGTCTTGGGTAAGTTTATTTTGGTACTGGTATCCATAGGTACAGTTATCATACATATTACTGTATGTAAATTACCTAGGATAACCCCCAAAAAAGTCACAGTAACTTAGTTCCATTGGGGTCCTTGGGCGAAACTTGTTAAAAAGAATCTCTGCTACCAGGTATACCAATGCCTTTATTTCCGAGGGTGCCCAACTCTCCATGGAAATAAGTCACAAAGATAAGATTTCGTTCGGATTTTTAACCCCGGAGGGTTAGCCACCCAGGATAACCCAAGAAAGTCAGTGCGTCATCGAGGACTGTCTAACTTATTTCCATTGGGGTCCTTAATCTTGTCCCCCAGGATGCGACCCACACCAGTCGACTAACACCCAGGTACCTATTTGCTGCTAGGTGAACAGGACAACAGGTGTAAGGAAACGTGTTGAAATGTTTCCACCCGCCGGGAATCGAACCCGGGCCCTCCGTGTGTGAAGCGGGAGCTTTAGCCACCAGGCCACCGGGCCTTGGGGGGGCTCTTGGGGTCAAGTGGTAACCCCATTAGCCTGCATCTGAGGGACCTGGGTTCAGTCAAGGCACAAGTGGGAATTGAAGATGGTTTTGTTTGGATTATTAACTAAAAGAGGAGGCAGTTAGGGTAAGATATAAACAGCTATTGGAGGATAGATGGGCTAATGAGAGCATAGGCAATGGGGTCGAAGAGGTATGGGGTAGGTTTAAAAATGTAGTGTTAGAGTGTTCAGCAGAAGTTTGTGGTTACAGGAAAGTGGGTGCAGGAGGGAAGAGGAGCGATTGGTGGAATGATGATGTAAAGAGAGTAGTAAGGGAGAAAAAGTTAGCATATGAGAAGTTTTTACAAAGTAGAAGTGATGCAAGGAGGGAAGAGTATATGGAGAAAAAGAGAGAAGTTAAGAGAGTGGTGAAGCAATGTAAAAAGAGAGCAAATGAGAGAGTGGGTGAGATGTTATCAACAAATTTTGTTGAAAATAAGAAAAAGTTTTGGAGTGAGATTAACAAGTTAAGAAAGCCTAGAGAACAAATGGATTTGTCAGTTAAAAATAGGAGAGGAGAGTTATTAAATGGAGAGTTAGAGGTATTGGGAAGATGGAAGGAATATTTTGAGGAATTGTTAAATGTTGATGAAGATAGGGAAGCTGTGATTTCGTGTATAGGGCAAGGAGGAATAACATCTTGTAGAGTGAGGAAGAGCCAGTTGTGAGTGTGGGGGAAGTTCGTGAGGCAGTAGGTAAAATGAAAGGGGGTAAGGCAGCCGGGATTGATGGGATAAAGATAGAAATGTTAAAAGCAGGTGGGGATATAGTTTTGGAGTGGTTGGTGCAATTATTTAATAAATGTATGGAAGAGGGTAAGGTACCTAGGGATTGGCAGAGAGCATGCATAGTTCCTTTGTATAAAGGCAAAGGGGATAAAAGAGAGTGCAAAAATTATAGGGGAATAAGTCTGTTGAGTGTACCTGGTAAAGTGTATGGTAGAGTTATAATTGAAAGAATTAAGAGTAAGACGGAGAAAAGGATAGCAGATGAACAAGGAGGCTTTAGGAAAGGTAGGGGTGTGTGGACCAGGTGTTTACAGTGAAACATATAAGTGAACAGTATTTAGATAAGGCTAAAGAGGTCTTTGTGGCATTTATGGATTTGGAAAAGGCGTATGACAGGGTGGATAGGGGGGCAATGTGGCAGATGTTGCAAGTGTAGGTGTAGGAGGTAGGTTACGAAAGCAGTGAAGAGTTTTTTAAAACGAGGATATGAGGCTCAAGTTAGAGTATGTAGGAAAGAGGGAAATTTTTTCCCAGTAAAAGTAGGCCTTTAAACAAGGATGTGTGATGTCACCGTGGTGTTTAATATATTTATAGGGGGGGTTTTGTAAGAGAAGTAAATGCGAGGGCCCTTGGCAAGAGGCGTGGAGTTTAAAAGATAAAGAATCACACAAAAAAGTGGGAGTTGTCACAGCTGCTCTTTGCTGATGACACTGTGCTCTTGGGGGATTCTGAAGAGAAGTTGCAGAGATTGTGGATGAATTTGGTAGGTGTGGCAAAAGAAGAAAATTAAAGGTGAATACAGGAAAGAGTAAGGTTATGAGGATAACAAAAAGATTAGGTGATGAAAGATTGAATATCAGATTGGAGGGGGAGAGTATGGAGGAGGGGAACAATTCAGATATTTGGGAGTGGACGTGTCAGCGGATGGGCTAATGAAAGATGAGGGAATCATAGAATTGATGAGGGAAAAAGAGTGATTGGTGCAAATTAGGAGTCTGTGGAGACAAAGAACTTTGTCCTTGAAGGCAAAAAGGGGGAAAGTATGAGAGTAAGTTTTACCAACGCTCTTATATGGGTGTGAAGCGTGGTGATGAATGTTTTCAGCGAGGAGAAGGCTGGAGGCAGTGGAGATGTCATGTCTGAGGGCAATGTGTGGTGTGAATATAATGCAGAGAATTCGTAGTTTGGAGTTAGGAGGAGGTGCGGGATTACCAAAACTGTTGTCCAGATGGGCTGAGGAGGGTTGTTGAGGTGGTTCGGACATGTAGAGAGAATGGAGCGAAACAGAATGACTTCAAGAGTGTATCAGTCTGTAGTGGAAGGAAGGCGGGGTAGGGTCGGCCTAGGAAGGGTTGGAGGGAGGGGGTAAAGGAGGTTTTGTGTGCGAGGGGCTTGGACTTCCAGCAGGCATGCGTGAGCGTGTTTGATAGGAGTGAATGGAGACAAATGGTTTTTAATACTTGACGTGCTGTTGGAGTGTGAGCAAAGTAACATTTATGAAGGGATTCAGGGAAACCGGCAGGCCGGACTTGAGTCCTGGAGATGGGAAGTACAGTGCCTGCACTCTGAAGGAGGGGTGTTAATGTTGCAGTTTAAAAACTGTAGTGTAAAGCACCCTTCTGGCAAGACAGTGATGGAGTGAATGATGGTGAAAGTTTTTCTTTTTCGGGCCACCCTGCCTTGGTGGGAATCGGCCGGTGTGATAATAAAAAATAATAAATATAATAAAATATTAACCCAGGATAACCCAGTAAAACCATGTCATGAGGCTAACTTATTTTCATTGGGTTTCTTTAATTTCCCCAGGATGCAACCTGCACCAGTCACCTAACACCAAGGTAGATTTAGATTTGGATTCCTTATTTCCAGTCACTGCATTTACAAAATATACAATAATCAGAAAACCCATAGGACCATGTTTTTGCCTAAAATGCACAGCATTTTGGCAAGTGTATTGGTTGTTAAGCGAGGAGCAGCCCCCTTAATGATATTTCAAGCATACTGTACTGGTAGTGGGTTTGTGTCAACCTTCTCTAGATGGTTTTAATGTTACCTTTGCACCATTTATAACATTTTTAGTATATTAAAAATAGAACTAGGTATTAAAACAAAGTAAAATACACATACGTACAGTACAGATGTAATATACACAGACTTTGCAAAGCCTTCGACAAGTGTGACCATGCCGTAATAATGCACAAAATGCGTGCTAAAGGAATAACAGGAAAAGTTGGTAGATGGATCTATAATTTCCTCCCCTCATGGAAGGTTCCTTGATGTTGGTGAGGGGCTCTTGATTTAGGGAATTGGAACTGTGCTCCAGTTCCCCGAATTAAGCCTGAATGCCTTCCACATCCCCCCCCGGGCGCTGTATAATCCTACGGGTTTAGCGCTTCCCCTTTGATTATAATAATAATATAATTTCCTCACAAACAGAACACAGAGTAGTCAACAGAGTGAAGTCTGAGGCAGCTACGGTGAAAAGGTAAGATAAGATAAGATTTCGTTCGGATTTTTAACCCCGGAGGGTTAGCCACCCAGGATAACCCAAGAAAGTCAGTGCGTCATCGAGGACTGTCTAACTTATTTCCATTGGGGTCCTTAATCTTGTCCCCCAGGATGCGACCCACACCAGTCGACTAACACCCAGGTACCTATTTGCTGCTAGGTGAACAGGACAACAGGTGTAAGGAAACGTGTCGAAATGTTTCCACCCACCGGGAATCGAACCCGGGCCCCTCCGTGTGTGAAGCGGGAGCTTTAGCCACCAGGCCACCGGGCCTGTTCCACAAGGCACAGTACTCGCTCCCATCTTGTTTCTCATCCTCATATCTGACATAGACAAGGATGTCAGCCACAGCACCGTATCTTCCTTTGCAGATGACACCCGAATCTGCATGACAGTGTCTTCCATTGCAGACACTGCAAGGCTCCAGGCGGACATCAACCAAATCTTTCAGTGGGCTGCAGAAAACAATATGAAGTTCAACGATGAGAAATTTAAATTACTCTGATGTGGTAAACATGAGGAAATTAAAACTTCTTCAGAGCACAAAACAAATTCCTTCCACAAAATAGAGCGAAAAACCAAAGTTGAAGACCTGGGAGTGATCATGTCGGAGGATCTCACCTTCAAGGACCATAACATTGTATCATTCGCATCTGCTAGAAAAATGACAGGATGGATAATGAGAACCTTCAAAACTAGGGATGCCAAGCCCATGACGACACTCTTCAGGTCGCTTGTTCTATCTAGGCTGGAATATTGCTGCACACTAACAGCACCTTTCAAGGCAGGTGAAATTGCTGACCTAGAAAATGTACAGAGAACCTTCACGGCGCCTCAATTACTGGAAGCGCTTGATGTTCCTGAACCTGTACTCCCTGGAACGCAGGAGGGAGAGATACATGATTATATACACCTGGAAAATCCTAGAGGGACTAGTACCGAACTTGCACACGAAAATCACTCGCAACGAAAGCAAAAGACTCGGCAGACGATGCAACATCCCCCCAATGAAAAGCAGGGGTGTCACTAACACATTAAGAGACAATACAGTAAGTGTCAGGGGCCCTGAGGCTGTTCAGCTGCCTCCCAGCATACATAAGGGGGATTACCAATAGACTTCTGGCTATCTTCAAGCAGGCACTGGACAAGCACCTAAAGTCGGTGCCTGACCAGCCGGGCTGTGACTCGTACGTTGGATTGCGTGCAGCCAGCAGTAACAGCCTGGTTGATCAGGCTGATCCACCAGGAGGCCTGGTCACAGACCGGGCCGCGGGGGCGTTGACCCCTGGAACTCTCTCCAGGTAAACTCCAGGTAAACACTGGTTGGAGATTTGGTCGTAAGTCCAAGCGGTCATTAAACAGGTAGGTCGTTAAGTGAATAGCACCTGTATTATATGCATCAGGTATATGTATTTATATTTCTTATACGTATTTATTTAATGCAGGAACCTTTATGGAAATAAGAACATAAGAAAGGAGGAGCACTGCAGCAGGCCTGTTGATCCTTAAACTTTGCATAAATGTTATATTCATTACTTTGTCTAATTTCTCATGCTTTGATTTCACCATCTTGGTTCAACCATTCTGAACCAGTGAGCCAAGTCTGCTTGTTCAGAGGACAACCCAGATGATAATGAAAAATTAATTTCATAATTAGGAAGTTTTGGATAGTTGGAAATGTAATTCGCTGCCCCTTCCCCTATTAGTGCATTAATTAGAGGGTTCACTGTACTGTAACTAATTTGTATGGCTACTAAAAAAAAAATTAATTTTAATTTTTTCTTACTCTCCTCTTTGCATCAAACCTGCCTACCTCCAATTCCTCGGCTTTTGTCTGACCCTTATGGACGTAACTTTTCCCCCGAATATAGTAATACTACTGTAGTTTAAGTTGCAAGACATTACGACTGCTGGTTCCAAATGGCATACTGCTGACAGTAGTGAAGTAAAGGAAACTTTGCAGAACAAGCTTTATTGGGACAATGTATTAAAGTAAATGAAATAAAATAAAATATTTATTTCTTTGCTAAGGTTACAATGTGTGTTTACATATACTAATGGTATGATTGGAGCAAAGAAAGTCACTAATGCCAAGGCATTTTGGACAGACTTAACCTAATACTTATAGACTACCTAAGTCTAGACAGGTGAAGAGTGGTAGAATACAGACAGTCAATATTCACTCTATTGTTAACAATGAGGTAGTACAATTTATGACAGTCGTACATTTTTAAGTATGTAATTGAGTTTTTACAATGGTAGAACACAAATATTCTATATTTCACTCTTATTATTAATATGAGGTAGTACAATTAGTGATACAAACAATAGTTAAGGGATAATAAAGTATTTGGAGGAGTTGCTTTGAATTTGGTTTAGTGTTTAGCATGGTGTGGGTAGGTTTGTTATTGAGAGGTGAGATGACTTTTGAGTAGGGTCCTAAACTGATTTGTGGGCAGGGAGCCTCTTGCTGCTTCAGGCAGAGAGTTCCAAATCTTAGGGTCCTTTATGGGCAATGCATTTTTGCAGTGTGAGACAGACATGAGGGATGTCAAAAAGTGTTTTGTGCCTCGTGTTATGCCTATGTGTTCTGTTGAAGCTATCTAGGAGAAGTTTGAGCAGAGGGTTGATATTGGAGTTTAATGTTTTGTATATGTAGTAGGCACAATAATAAGTGTTTATATTATGTATATTAAGTTCATGTACAGTATTTGAAGAGAGTTGGGGTGTGTTGTCTGGCACAGGAGTTTGTGATCATCCTCACTGCCGCTTTTTGTTGGGTTATTAAAGGTTTGAGGTGATTGGCCGTGGTAGATCCCCAAGCCCAAATACCATAGGTGAGGTAGAGAGTGATGTAAGGTTAGGAGGGCCCGTTGGGATATTGTCCCAGTACATATTGTTGTACGTATGTACATATATAGTCTATTGTCGTGGCTTGATCAAGCTCTACATAATGCAACATTATTCGAGTAAAAGCTTGTTCTGAAACTTGTCTTACCTGTGAATATAAAAGAATCACTGTCTGTTTATAAATTCAAATCTTCTTAAAAAATCACTTACTCACCCACAACTAAATAAATACTGAATAACTGTATCTCATAAATGTATAACCTGTGACCCTATCAAACTTTTTTTTTTTTGTTTTTTTTTTTAATTGCATTACTTAATAAAATACTCCATTCTGTTGAATGTACAGCAATTCAGCAAATGACCAAATGACCTGACTTTGAAATACTCATTTGTGCTTAATTGTTATTTGTTTACTATAATTTTTACCACTGAATATATCATTGCTTTGTTAATCTTAAGTTAATTTTAAGCCTGCCCATAATGCTCTGCATACAAGGGGCTTTTAGCATGTTACACTTAACCACTGTATTTCTTTGTACATCTATGTATCATGTCCAAATTAATAATAAATAAATAAATAAAAAATTTAGAAAGATCTGATCCTTAGGCCAGTGCCTTGTTAAACATTGATAACCACATACTAGTTCACTATTGTTAAAAATGTAGCCATTTTCCTGTGTTGATGTTGGTACCTCATAGGTGCTAAATATTTTAAGTTTTGAATTAATATGTGCTATTATAGACCTTGCCATGATTACTGGTGATCACATAAATTCTTGACAGGTGCTTTCTGGCTCTGGGGTATACGATGGTTCTGAAATTCATGAAGCTTCAGCTGCCCTAGTTAGCCTGACACGTGGTGGAGCAGATGTTGTTTGTTATGCTCCTGATTCTGCTCAGATGCATGTTATAGATCACACTAAGGTGAGAGTGAACTATATTAATGAGTTAGTCATATAAATAGTATTTTAATACCATTTGGTATTGTACTGTATTTGGATGTAATTTTTAATGTCACTCACAGCTCTTATCCACATTAACCCCTGCAGTCACTCCCATACTCAGCCTCTCTCCCACACTCACACACCCACAAATTCATTTAGAGAAAAGTAAATAAAACACTCGGAAAGAAATACCTGGAGAGGGTTTCGGGGGGGGGGGGGGTCAATGCCTCTGCGGCCTGGACTGTAACCAGGCCTAAGTTTTGGTTTGGTAATTCCAGATATCAAATTATTATGCCATTAAGATAGTTGCAGAAATTCAAGAAAAAATGAATGGGCAGATTGTATTCATCTAGGTTTTATGATTAAGAGTTGTTCCTATTAAAAAATCTGTAGACTTCAAATCATTGAAGGAATAAAAGCCAAGCTAATACAGAGGCGTCGCTAGAGTTGGTGTCACCTGGGGCGGAATCTTTGGTGTCACCCCCCCCATGAAATTCAGGAGCAGGGGGATGGGGGGTAAACTCCAGTTACATCACTACTGCATGACCAGTGACAAATGTTTAGCAATGAGAATGTCTAAGGGCCATAAACTGAATGGGAGAATACTTCTCAACTTTATTAATGATAAAATAAATAAGCATAGTAATATTGAGGAAACATAAACTCAGATACCACTTTGAGTACAGGTAACACATCCTATATTTATTCATCTTCAACAATGCCAAAACAAAACAAAAAAAAAAACTTGAAAAATAAAGAAAAATATTGCAATATCAGAGAAACATTTGTTCCGATTTGACCTTGAGTACAGGTAACATCTCAGTGAATCTGATCTTACATTTCCTTGCCTTCACTTATGCAAAATCATCTATCACATCATCAAAATCATTGATTTTCCCTATATAGGGTTATTTGTACTTTGTTAATATATAATAGGCTATTTAGAAACGAAGGCTTCTTCTCTTATGTTGGTGCAGCACTGTTTTGGGCATTAGTGTCACCTTCTTTAGAGGCTCTGTAGTGTCACCCCCTAAATGGTATCACCCGGGGCAGCCGGTACCCCCTATCCTTACGATGCCCCTGAGCTAATACAGTATTGTTCAAGGAATGAAAGACTGAGGTCAGTGAATGCTGATAAGGAGGAAATATATTGTTGTGAGGAAATGTCATCATTGGTATTCTGCCCCAATAATGTTTTTAATTTATATAAATTGATCTGACAAGCTGTTAAGTATGAGCAAAGAAATGAGGGATTCAGGGAAACCAGTTAGCCAGACTTGAATCCTCTAGGTCAGAAGTACAATGCCTACACTGATGGTGGGGTGAGGATGGTACAGTTTACAAGGTCATCTGAATTATGAAGTCAGCACACTTCTAGAAAGACAGTGATTGAGTGAATGTGGTTTTTGGGTCACTCACCCTACTTTGGTGGGAAACAACTGGTGTTAAAATGGTAGTGGTGGAAGAAAGGAATAAATAGAAAAAGGAGTTAGTGTTACAAACATTAGAAATGTAAAAAATTGTGATGAGCATACAAATGAGGACAGGATACCACAAGCATAGCTCTGCTTCTGTTGCTACAGATAGGTAATTACTGCTAGATACAGTAATTATAAATATTTTAAGTAATAACTTTTGACTCCCACAAGCTCTTCACTTCCCATTCCTTATGCTTATCACTTCAAGGGAGTTGCCTCGATGCTGGTGAGAGGTG